CCACCCAACAAAATAATTTCATTTTTTAAAAATAATAGACTAATAGATTTGACATATCGGGTGAAGAGTTTCTATGTCAAATTGACATATGTCAATTTGCCACCTAAACCTTCAAAAAAAAATTGGCACACCTAATTTTGAAAGTTTTGATGGAAATGCTCTTTAGTCCCTGTAATTTAAGTGAAGTGTTATTTTACTTCTCATAATTTTAATTTGAATAATTTAGTCATAGCATGTGTCAATATTGATATGGTATCACTATTATATTAAATTTTTTCTTTATTTTTTTTAAAGTGTTATGTTATCATTTTTGTTATTACAATCACACAAAATCTAATATCTGAGACAATGATTTCTGTAATCAGATTGTGATCCCAAGATTGAATTTTGATAAAGAAACGGTTCGGGCACCGTTAAGAGCTTTCTCGTCTGCGCATTGACAATACATTTTTTAACTTTATTTCATTGTTCTTTACGTGGGTTAGCAAGGATAAGGATTGTTCCTTATCAAATTTTACATTCGAATATCAAAATTATTCATTTTCACTAATACCCTTTTCTATTCCCTAACCAAACACACCACCTCATCATTACACTCACAACCAAACAATAGCGTCTACTATACCTAATCATTTCCCCTCTTCCCTCTAATACCCCACTCCATTGTTATATTGTGTTTCAATCATAAATTTAAATAGATATTTAAAATAATATATTTCATTCACATTATCTTTATGTTTTTCATTTTAAATTCTCACTTAAATTCATAATACACGTGCAATCTAAATATATGCATATATGTATCAATATTTGATTTATTGATTTTATTTTTGATACTTAGAGTAATTGCTAAATAAAGTTAAATATTTATGATTTTTATTAAAATTAAAATTACATGACAATTATGCCAAGTGAATTGTGTACTTTATATAATAAAATAGATCTAAATTGTCATTAATGGTAGGATTTGAAAATGTAGCTCATGATATTAGTTCAACTTCCCAACAGCTAAAACGACGAATACTGCTCTCCGTTCATTTGTCAAGAATATAACACAAGAAAATATTTCTTCATAAAAATTAGTTAAAAGAAAAAGGAAAAGATAATAGAAATTATTTACTTTCTTGTCAACTGCTGAGTTTACAAGAAAGTTTATATACAAAACAATTTAAACTTTTTTGTAGTACATAATGTTTTATAAGTAAGTATTTTAAGGAAAATGTTTCCTTCAAGAAAATAGTTATGGTTGGATCTATGTTTTTCCTACAACAATTGAACACATGTACAGAAAAATAAAACGGTTTTTATTTTCCTTTCTGTCGATTGAACTCAGCAAATGAATATACGACCATGAAATCACAGAAGAAATTTCTGTAATTATCAATGGATTCGGTTAACAACTATCTATTGGGCATTCATTAAGGATCAAATAATGTCAAAAAAGTTTGAACTCTCATACATATTTCACATATTTTAATAAAAATTTTAGGAGAATTTTTTTTAAAGTCCCTGATATTAAGATTTTATAAAATAAATTACATATAATATTTTCACAGTAGTTAAGGTCCCTCAACATTTTTATAAAAAAAATTCGACTCAGATAAATTTTGCCTGACTCACAGAAATTTCAAATTTCATACCAGATAAATTTCAAAATTTCTCTGAGTCGGACCGAAATTTCTCTGAGTCAAGCGAAACTTCTCTGAGTTGATTTCTTTGGGAAAATATTGAGGAACCTTAGCTAATTAAAAAATATATATATCTTTGACGTCTTTTACTAGACAAAGTTGGAGAGAGATATTTTACTAATTTTTCTACATTTTTTATATATCTGCCCATGTTATTGACAACTCAACATTTTCCACTATCAAAAACTTCTGGAAAAGACAAGTGAAATTTTTTTTTTTTTTTTGGGGGGGGGTTATTTTTTGGGGGGGTATAATTAATAACATCTTAAATCATGCAATTCTTGCATGTCAAGCTGGTAATGAAATATGAAGACGTTGTTGGGATAGGGGTGTTGCAGATGAGCTCATCTCCTTCCTTGTTGGCTGCAACTGATACAAAAGTATATACAGTCAGTCCACTAGGTCTAACACAACAAATAGTATGTATATTAGGGTTTAAATATCAATTGATCCAATCAGGCCCGGGCCTGAGATTTTCGAAACCCAAAGTCAACAATCAATTGATAAATTTCTAGGGCCTTTCACATTTTTTTTTCATTGAATGAAAAAAAAAATAAAAATAAAAATAAAAAAAATTGAAGGTAAAAGACAAAAAATTTGTTTCAAAATCAAAAAAAATACTTAACATTACATTACAACAACAAATAAATATCGCTTGATTCTCACTCTTCTTACATTTTTAAAAACAAATAAATCAATCATACTTGCATAATTTAATTTTTTTTGCAAAATCATTTTCAATGGATAACAATGCTAATTATTTTAAATGGGTCTTTCAATTTTTTTAATGAGTCAATTTATTTTAAATTAGTTTGGGCCATTCTTAATTTTTTTTGGACTTAAAACATACCTAATATATTACATTAAACTAAAATAGGATGGGCCCTTTTTTGGATATATTGTCAATGGATAACAATGTTAATTTTTTTGAATGCGCCTTTCAATTTTTGAAAGAGTCAATTTATTTTAAGTTAGTTTAGGCCTTCTTCAATTTTTTTTAGACTTAAAACATACCTAATATACTACACTAAATTATAATAAGAGAGGGCCCCTTTCTTGGGTCAATTTTGAGGGCCTTAGGCCATGGCCTGGTGGGCCTATGCCGAGGGCCAGCCTTGGATGCAATAAATAGCAGACTTTTAGACTTTCAATATCGATATTTACGGACATATAGTCAATATTGTCTAATATTGACCAATACATAACTACATCATTTATATCAATATATATCATAATACCATTGTTTAGAACCGTTTGCATAAATATGATGTGATGGCTAAAAGCCGTGAGCAAAACAAACCAACAAATACATGTGAGGAGCAACTACTTTGGCAAGCTTCGTCCAACTCATCGAGCACCTCTTTTATGGATGGACGACCTTTGCTTGATTGGCAACACACAACATTCCAATTTGTAATATGGATTCAAAGTCGACTCTGTTCACATTTCCATTCAGCCTTGGATCTTCAAAATCCAAAATCAGGCATTTCCCCATACAAACATCGTTTGCCTGCACCACAAAAGATTTTTAATATGTTTGTGAGTTTTTGTGATTGAGGCACAGCAAAAGAGAAAAACAAATTGGAGACAAATGATCTTGGAGACGGCTTCAAGTTGTAAGTTTGTCAAAGGGGGTCATTATAATTATGCTCACTCATATATATTATAGGGAAAATTATGACAGTAGTCCATGTACTTTAGTCTTTATGTCATTTTGGTCCCTATAATTTCAATTGGCTCAATTTTGACCTTGAATTTATGACTTTGCTTCAATTTGGTCCAATTAATTACAACCTTCAGCAATTTTTTTATGAAAATATGCATATAAGTGGCATGTATTATATTTTTTAAAGTAAAATTATAAATTTACAAACCTTGGTAAGTTAATCTCAACTAATTGAGTGATTATTTTCAGTCAAAAACACTAACAACATTATCAATTGGACCAAATTGATACAAAATTTAGAATTAAGAGTCAAAAATTGTGTCAATTGAAAGTGTAAGGACCAAAATGATACAACAGATAAAACATAGGGACAACCGGTTTAATTTGCCCTATATTATATATATACTAGACGTTAACACATGTTGTTTTGTTTCTTCTCTCTCTCTCGCACACTCTTTATCTCGTGTGTATGTATATATAAGGTGTGCATACCCTATAGGTGTGATATGAAAATCGAGTGTGGTACAAAAATTTAAGGTGCCAAATTTCTAAATGTTCGCCATAAAAAATTTGAATGTAGACGAATGAAATTTTTTTTTTTTTTTTTTTTTTTGAAGAAATCAAAATTTTAAAATAAAAACAAGGACAATCACAGAGGTTAGTTGAGCATAAGAAAATGCGTGAAATAACTTGAAATGGACATTCACATTGATTTCAACGTTTACATTATATACACAAGCGGCGGGTGCTCACTTAATGCTATATTAGTCATATCTATTCTATTATATAAAGCACATGACTCAATTGGCAACAACATAATTTTCTAAATATTTAACTGGGTAAATTACACTGATCTTACTCGAGGTTTGGAGAAAAACACAAGCTCTACAATTTTGGTATAATTACACCAACCTCCCTTTTAGTAAGGTTTAAAAGACTGGAAATAATGCAGATAGTGTGAAGAAACATAGATAAACAAAGTAAATCATACTTTCTAATATAAATAAATAAAAAGATGACAATATCATTTTTCCATCCATATAACTAACGAGTTTCCTGATGAACAAGAAAACGAAGTGTTAAAAAAAAATACTTAACATTACATTACAACAACAAATAAATATCGCTTGATTCTCACTCTTCTTACATTTTTAAAAACAAATAAATCAATCATACTTGCATAATCTAATTTTTTTGCAAAATCATTTTCAATGGATAACAATGCTAATTATTTTAAATGGGTCTTTCAATTTTTTTAATGAGCCAATTTATTTTAAATTAGTTTGGGCCATTCTTAATTTTTTTTGGACTTACAACATACCTAATATATTACACTAAACTAAAATAGGCTGGGGCCCTTTTTTGGGTATATTGTCAATGGATAACAATGCTAATTTTTTTGAATGCGCCTTTCAATTTTTGAAAGAATCAATTTATTTTAAGTTAGTTTAGGCCTTCTTTAATTTTTTTTAGACTTAAAACATACGTAATATATTACATTAAATTATAACAAGAGAGGGCCCTTTCTTGGGTCAATTTTGAGGGCCCTAGGCCCTGGCCTGGTGGGCCTCTCTTGGGTCAATTTTGAGGGTCCTAGGCCCTGGCCTGGTGGGCCTATGCCCAAGGCCAGCCTTGGATGCAATAAATATCAGAATTTTAGACTTTCAATATCGATATTTACAGACATATAGTCAATATTGTCTAATATTGACCAATACATGACTACATCATTTATATCAATATATATCATAATACCATTGTTTAGAACCGTTTGCATAAATATGATGTGATGGCTAAAAGCCGTGAGCAAAACAAACCAACAAATACATGTGAGGAGCAACTACTTTGGCAAGCTTCGTCCAACTCATCGAGCACCTCTTTTATGGATGGACGACCTTTGCTTGATTGGCAACACACAACATTCCAATTTGTAATATGGATTCAAAGTCGACTCTGTTCACATTTCCATTCAGCCTTGGATCTTCAAAATCCAAAATCAGGCATTTCCCCATACAAACATCGTTTGCCTGCACCACAAAAGATTTTTAATATGTTTGTGAGTTTTTGTGATTGAGGCACAGCAAAAGAGAAAAACAAATTGGAGACAAATGATCTTGGAGACGGCTTCAAGTTGTAAGTTTGTCAAAGGGGGTCATTATAATTATGCTCACTCATATATATTATAGGGAAAATTATGACAGTAGTCCATGTATTTTAGTCTTTATGTCATTTTGGTCCTTGTAATTTCAATTGGCTCAATTTTGACCTTGAATTTATGACTTTGTTTCAATTTGGTCCAATTAATAACAACCTTCAGCAATTTTTTTATGAAAATATGCATATAACATGTATTATATTTTTTAAAGTAAAATTATAAATTTACAAACCTTGCTAAGTTAATCTCAACTAATTCAGTGATTATTTTCAGTCAAAAACACTAACAACATTATCAATTGGACCAAATTGATACAAAATTTAAAATTAAGAGTCAAAAATTGTGTCAATTGAAAGTGTAATGACCAAAATGATACAACGGATAAAACATAGGGACAACCGGTTTAATTTGCCCTATATTATATATGGGAAATGATTTGTAGCCCTAAAAAGTTGCCCCCTAATCCCCCTAATTTCCAATTTTGGAAACTGTTTTCTTTTTTTCTTTCTTTTTTCCTTTTTTTTTTTTTTTTTTTACCTGAAATGGAAATTAGGGAGATTCGGGCTCCCCCATTTTCGGGGGATGAATCACTACCCATTATATATATACTAGACGTTAACACATGTTGTTTTGTTTCTTCTCTCTCTCTCACACGCTCTTTATCTCATGTGTGTATGTATATATAAGGTGTGCATACCCTATAGGTGTGATATGAAAATCGAGTGTGGTACAAAAATTTAAGGTACCAAATTTCTAAATGTTCGCCATAAAAAATTTGAATGTAGACGAATGAAATTTTTTTTTTTTTTTTTTTTTTTGAAGAAATCAAAATTTTAAAATAAAAATTTTTAAGAAATCAAAATTTTAAAATAAAAACAAGGACAATCACAGAGGTTAGTTGAGCATAAGAAAATGCGTGAAATAACTTGAAATAGACGTTCACATTGATTTCAACGTTTACATTATACACACAAGCGGCGGGTGCTCACTTAGTGCTATATTAGTAATATCTATTCTATTATATAAAGCACACGACTCAATGGCAACAACATAATTTTTCTAAATATTTAACTAGGTAAATTACACTGATCTTACTTGAGGTTTGGAGAAAAACCCAAGCTCTACAATTTTGGTATAATTACACCAACCTCCCTTTTAGTAAGGCTTAAAAGACTGGAAATAATGCAGATAGTGTGAAGAAACATAGATAAACAAAGTAAATCATACTTTTTAATATAAAAAAATAAAAAGATGACAATATCATTTTTCCATCCATATAACTAACGAGTTTCCTGATGAACAAGAAACGAAGTGTTATGTGAATTAAAACTTTTCAAATAATTCAATGTAATTATGCCAAACTCAAAGATATATATATATATATATATATATGGAAACACAAGTAACTGAAATACCTTTCTTCTTAGAGTGTCTCTGGCATGAAGATCCAGATCATCAAATACATATAGTCCTGATAATAGTTGCAGAATGACGATGCCGAAACTGTAGATGTCGCTAGCACAAGTCAACTTGGCATTGACCATGTATTCAGGGTCCATATAACCCAAGTCTATGTCTTCCCAAACTTGTGCACAATCAATCACGCTCTTCTTTTCTAGCATCTCCATCCTCAACATCATTTCCAACGCAAAATCAGAGAGCTTGGCTTCCATGTTCTTACTCAAGAGGATGTTGCTAAGCTATAAATCAAACATGTAGCATCGTTAAACAATCATGTATATATATATATATATATCAATCATACTTCAACAAATAGATAAACATACAAGTGAAACAGTAATTAATTACCTTGATATGTCTGTGAACAAGGCAGCCATCCACATAATGATGGAGATAATTGAGTGCAAGTGCACAGTCCCTTAAGATCTTTACTTTTTCCCATGTTAGGATTGTGTCTTTCCCCTAAACATAGACATACAAAAATGGAAGAACAGAACTTAATGAATGATAAAAAAAAATATAAAAAAAATGATAAAAATGAAATTCCTCCATTTTTTTTCCCCTTGAAAAAGCACCAAGATAAAGCAGAGTCCGTAATTTGCACCCCCATAAAATAACAGTTATTTGAAGGAATTGAATCTCATTACTATGACAGTTATTGAAACAGTTGGATCTAAAAGAATTAAAACAGTTCAGAGCAGTTATCAAGAGGTGTTTTGAGAAGCAAAAAAGTGACAATTTACATACACCAACTCAAATAAAAGTATAACAATAATAGTATAGATAGTAGACATGAGTCATTGAAGTTATGAGATAATGTAGTTGGGTTGTAATTCCAGCACATGCATTGCATTGCATCACAACATAAAGCACATCAAGTAGTAACTGGGTGTACATGGCACATCCCATGGGTAGACTTACAACTACTTAATTATTGAAAATCTCAAGACATGATTCAATGAATATGAATGTTTTGGGACACAAGGACAGAGAAATTTGGGAACAGAGAATCTCCTGTTGAGATTCAGTAGTCATAAAACAAAGGAAAAAGTACACTTTTCACTCTGGCCAAGATTTTACTTTGTTTCCTATTGTTTTAATTTGAACAATTTGATCTTTACACTTTAGTCTAGCTTTAATTTGGTGATTCTATCTAAATTTTTGTTAATTCTTTCTGCATGTAAACCTTAAAAGATTGACAAGTGTCTCAAAAAAGTTTTAACCTCCATCCTGAACTGAACGACCAAATTGAAACCAAATGTAGAAACCAAAATTGGTCAATTTGAAACAATAAGAACCAACGTAAAATTTGAATCAAATTATAGGAGAAAAAGTGTAATTAACCCTCAAATAAAAGAAAAGAAATGAGCCCTGAAAAAAAAAGAAGCTAAACTGTGAGAGGGGAGTTAATAATAATTACTTTGGAGATATTGAGCTAGATTTCCAGCTGAGCAGTATTCATAGAGTAAGCAGTGGTGGCCATGATGTTCCATGCAGAAACCAATGAGACAAACTAGGTTTGGATGTCGGACCGTTGAAAGCACTTCAACTACCCGTTCAGTCAAAGATTTAGAATTAGAAATAGAAGTGTTGCTCTCATTCCTATCTATCTGCTTGATGGTCACAACTTGTCCACTCTGTAGAACACCTTTCAAAACTTGGCTTACAATTACACTTCCTCTTCCTCTTCCTCTTCCTTTTCCTCCCAAGCATGTTCTTCCATTGCCAGAAACTATGACATTTTCAATCTCTGCCTTGGAGAATCGACAGAGACCACACCAAGTCATAGTACTACGTTCGGTAAGGACAGGTTTAGGACTAATCCCATGTTGTCTATTGTTGTTCTTGGTGGTGAATTTGATCAGTATGATAAACACCATTAATCCTATGATGGTGAGTAGATAGGCTGCTAATAGTTTTTTTGTCCCAGAAGCTGATAACACAAAATCAAATCTGTCAGAGCAATCATTTTTGCAAAGAATAATGTTATGCATAAACAAATTTCTTGTCTAATTTTCTTACGGCAAAAAATAAAAAATTGAGTAAAACATCTGTTCATGTATAATATTTTTTTGTTTGTGGAAAATAAAAGATTATCACAAGTAATATCATGTAAGACTTATATTCAAGTTTGATGTAACCTGGTTTGGGTTTGGGTTCGGGTTCTGCAGAAAAACAAAAATAAAACAAAAAAGATCAATATTTGAGTTGAAAACAGGAAAAGAAACATTAAAGTTTAATTTGACAGATAAACAAGTATATTCCTGCATTTGAAATTAGCACACATGGAGTTGTTTAGCATTTCTCTACGGGAAATTATTCAGGTAGTGTTTAGCATTTCTCTAATTTCCTAACAAACCATTAAATTTTATGTTAGTACTATGTGACGTTGTCCACATGGTGCTCTGACCAATGAAAAATCACAAAACACACTAGGTGTGTCATTTTCTAACAACTTATTTTAACTCAAAAAAGTTGATTCTGAGAAGCTATACTCTCAGATTATCAACTTATTTTAACTCACCCCTTATTTCTGATTATCAACTCCTGCTGTGGACATATTAATTTACAGTTATACTCTTAGATTTTTTATTTTTTATTTTTTTAAAAATAAAAAAAGATCCAAATGGACTATAGATTATTATTATTATATTTTATGAGAAATGTAGACAAGTAGTGAATAACAAAAAATAAAAGTTAATTGAAAAAGTTACTTCACAACTTATTTAACAAACACTACTTAAATCTATAATCCAACAGTTACACCAAACAGATTAACAGCTTCTGATTAAAGTCATAATCTATAATCTGTTAAGGTATAATCTATAATCTGTTTTAACAGTTACACCAAACGGAGCCTTTGTCTCCAATTACCTAATAAAACTGGGTCAACATTATATTGTAAAGTTATCTACTATGTAATTAGGTGGAAATATTACGTGAAAAAAAGACACATGGCACTCTAAAGGTGCACTTGGTAATTGGCTAATATAGCTAAAAAATCACTAAAAATTCCAAAAAGTCTTATAAAAAAGTCAAGATTCATTCCCATTCTCTCTAATTTTTTTGCACTTTTTTTTGTAAAACACTAAAATGCTTTCCCCAAACACTTCAGTTTTTTTTTTTTGTTGCCAAAAAGTCACTAAAAAAAATCACTTTCCCAAACCAACCCTAAGATTACTTAATAATTATTATCCCATTTTCTACGAGGGTTTGAATTACAATTTATTACACAAACCGATCACAGAACCTGGCACAGAATACATATATGAATGGATAAAATTTTATAGCAAAAGGAAAACATGAAAAGAATATTATGCTTGACCTTGATATATGATCAACATAATTTTTAGTACATAAATTCCATATAGAATAAGATCACCTTTTAGTGTGGCTCGTAAGAATGTTGGGAAAGATTATGGTACACACCCCATGTGCACCGTATAACTACATAATAAAATGGTATACCTTCGTACTTTCTGAGTCATGACTAAACACAAAAATTCTAACCAAATATCTCAAAATAATGTGAAGAAGGAAATTGGTGATAACCAAAGAAAATGACAATGATATGGGGTGTGTATAATAGAATTCTCCAAGAATGTTAGAATGATGTGTTTTATGTACAAATTTCAGTTTCCTTTGATCAGTAGTAGAATTCACAAGAAGTACTTAATTGAGACGGCGGGCTGTCAAGGCGAGGTTGCCGCCCGCCGGTGAAGCGAAAAATACTAAGTGCTTAACCTTGGCTCTGATACCATGTAAGATAAATTGATAAAGAGAGGGAGAGAGAGCAAAATGAATAACTCTGTATATTTCTGTGTGTTATTACAAGAAGATTGACACTCTCTTTATAGAGAGGAGATGACAGCATAGGATGCTAAGTTAGGCACCGAAAGCATAAAGTAAGGATAATTATTAAAGCTAACATAATGTTGTACTAAACATAATGATAACACTAGCAATACTAACATAGAATACTAACATCACTACTCATATAATAATATAATACTAACATTACTAACATATAATACTAACACTAATGATGAAAAGAGGATGGATCATCCAATTTCCCAGCAGCAACAGAGATAACAGCGGCCGCAACACAAATCGATCTCTGAGTGTCGTTTCTCATTCCGGCCTCGTAGAGGTAGTTATCGAACAAGAAATCTCTGAGATCTAAGACCGCATAAATGCAATTCCAACAAGCATCATCATCATCATCAGAGGAAGAGTTGAATCGATCGCACTTGTTCAAGGCGTTCCAATAGGGCTTCTCTTGCCAAATAGACGACAGAGAAATGCGAGAGCAACCAGTGGTTCCATAGAAGAGACTATTGATATTAGTATCTCCGACACAGTTAGAAGAAGAAGAAGAAGAAGTGCAATTGATTCATTGATTTTGAGGGAGGAAGAGGCTTTCATTGGTAGTAGAAGAAGCAGATGTTGCGTGTAAGAAGGCTAATGACTGCGACAACACGCTGAGGGAGTTTCGGCAGCAGAGAGTGGTGGAGAAGCCGCCCCAAATGTTGATCTTTGTATTAGTGCCATTGCAATCACCGGTCTGTATAAAATGCCAAAAAAACAACAAGATAACAAAATCTCTTGTTTCTTTCCCACCCCCTTCTCTTCATTTGAAAACTTCACTCCATATTTGAAAAGTTTGATTTTGTTTTAATAAAAAATTCAATCACAAGATATTATTTATAATATTATTTTAATTATGATATCAAAATTATTTAGTTATGTTTTTTTTAAAAAATGAAAAATTGTAATCAATCGTTTACTTAACATATAACTATGTCTAAAAATTAGATTGGATCTAACTTTTAAATTTGAATAAAGATACTCTTTTTTTCTTTTTCTTTTTTAGTTATTGAGGTCTATTTATGGTAATTAAACTCATAAATAATCTAACTTGAATATAGGATTACCTTGTTTTGATATACATTAGTATATTTTTTAAATAATATTAAAACTACTCTCTTCCCTATCTCTAACAAACTCTAATCATGTTCAACCCATCACCTCCGACGACCCCCCAACCCTCCTTCCCTTTGAACAAATATCTCTCAACTTTGCTGCTCGTCATTGTCGTGATGCCCACCCCTCGCAGCCCCGCCATCCTGATCTCTTCAAGGTCCGACAACCCTTACCATCTTTTGACACAGCACATCACCACCACCACAAGTTCCCAAACTAAACTATTTGAAAATACAGAATTGTACAAAATTGTTATAATTAATAATTAAGATTGATTTAAAATATAAAATAAAGAATTGATCTAAAATATAATTAGATTAACTTCCTAATAAATAATTAAGAATTTATAATTAATTGTGATCTAAAATATAATTTGAATAAAAAGTTAAGAATTACAATAAATACTTAATTTTAATTTAAAAGTTAGAAACTACAATAAATAATTAAATATTTAGAATTAATTGTGATCTAAAATCTAATTAGATTAAAATTAGAATAAAAAGTTAGAAATTACAATAAACAATTAAGAATTTATAATTAATTGTAATTTAATTGAATTAATGTTAGACATTATAAATTATGTGTATGAACGGAAAGGGAGAGAAAATAAAATTTAAAAACAGAAAAAAAGAAAAGAAGCACCTTACTAGGTTTGAGAGTATTACAGCCATTTCACGTCTATAATTAACAGTTGCTTTTTGGTCCAAAATTGAGTGCTGCTATTAGTACCTATCTAAATTCTTTGGACGGGAAATTCTATTTTCACATACCAAATTTCCTCACTCCACACACTTAATAAATCTTTTTTATATTACATTTTTGTATCCTCATCTTTTCAACTGAAATCCTAATTCGTTGGCCTCCTCCTTGACCATCTTAATCATGCTCTCCACCTTCAATGAACCTCCTCTACCGCTACTGCCACTGCCGCCATCATCCTCATCGCCCATTTCAACTCTGACAACACTCTCCGCCACCTCTACAAACTCCTTTGTCATTTGAACTTGAAAATATTTCTTTTCATTTTAGAGTGAATTCAAGTGCATAAATTAGCGACCTGGAATACTCAAGACTAGCCATTTTTGTTCTTTGAGGAAATGAAAATTGAAATATGGTGTTTATGCAAATAATAGTTAAGTGGAGAGGAAATTTTGATGGCTTTTGTATTTTACTTATTTAGTCAATCTTCTTATCTAAAAGGGATGATTTAATAAATCCCATGGATTACTATGTTTAATGGATTGAATACATAACCAGCAAACTACAGTTTGATACCATGAGGTGGGTTGGAATGGTGTGTGAGGGGTTAGTAATTGCAACTAATGATCGTGGAGGGATGGAAATGGCTGTGGTGACTTAAATATCCAGCAAAGGAGGCGGTGGTTGGCCGGTTGGGGGTGAATGAAGAATGGTAAGAGTTAGGGTTAGGATTAGGGTTTGAAAAAAAAAGAAGATGAGGGCACTTTTGGTATAATAGTTGTGTGTTGAGTAAAAAATGAGATTTCAAATTCACTAAGTGTGTGCTTTGAGAAATAATGTGCACAGAGAAGATTTGGTGTGTAGAAATAGAAACTCCCTCTGTGGACCCCCCAATTTCTAATTTTTTTTAATTACAATTATACCCTGAAGTAAAATTACATTAAAAAACATCATTTAATGGACCACCCACTTACCCAATAAGAACTAATACTCTACAATATTGTACCCCCACCCCCACCCCCACCTCCACCTCTACCTTCACCTCCAGTTATACGTATTCCACCTTTCTAAACCCTAAACCTATTACTCTTCATAACCATCTTAAACTCTGAACGTATCCTCTTCATCACTATCATAAACCCTCATGAACCAAGAACCTCAAACTAGAAAGCTCTTTTCAAGTCCAACATATTACTCTTTATCAGTTATTTTACCTTGTAGAACAATTGAGGATGATGACAACAATTCTGATGAAGCTGGAGTTCCATTGGTAAGTTTATCTGTCTTGTATTAGCATTCTCAGTCGTTTTCAATTGTCGTTGTTTTGTTTGAGTTGTGCGGTATGGTTTGCCAACTGTTAAGATTATGTACGGTAACACAATACTGAACACAAACATTTAGTTCAATATAGAAGTTCTGAATAGTACTAGTGTGCTGAACGGTTCAATTTTTGTATCTTCAACACCAGATTGAATGTTTCATAAGGGTTTTACTTGAGAGGAATTTCTGACGAGTTCTTTGCAAAGATAGACAGGAATTTCCAACAAGTTTTCCGATGGTATTCTTTAGACACCGTCGAGTTGATTCCTCCTTTCGTTGAGAGTTGATAGGAATTTCAATTATGGACCGTCGATGCAATGTTCTTCACTGAGGCAATGGTGTTTATTGATGCAATGATTGTCGGCGTTCTTTTCAACAGAAGATGGACAGTCATCAAAAGGAGAAAGAGAAAGTGTGTGCAAAATTAGATGGGTGTGCTCTTGGGTGTGATAGTATTATAAATAGCGGTAAATTGGGTATTATGTAGGGTGTTCAAAGAAATCTTACTGAAATTTAGGATTTAAGGTGGAGACTCAA